AGCCATCCAGCTCTACAACCGTAAGAAGATAACTTTCTATTGTTTAAGTCACCCAGTCTATGGTGCTTTGTTATGGCAGCTGGAGCTGACTAATATAATATTGTCTAATGGCCTCGTTTTGTTTACTTGAATACACTTACATAAAAAGGAAACTGGACATCTCCTCTGTATTGGGAAATCGGTAGCCCTCACCATTAGTAGAATGAGTCAGGGCTGGCCAGACACGGGGCCTGGAGGCCAGGATTATTTTAGGAGCCTACAAAGATGCTTTAATTTTAGTTTCTTTTAAACTTTACAAAAGAAAGAATAAATATAATAACGAATATGATCTGGATTATATTATTTATACCAATGCAATAGCGAAATGTAATTTTTAATCTTGTTTTTAGTGGAAGAAGGGGCCATACAAGGCAAAAGTGCCTAGGGCCCCTGAAAGTCAGAATGCGCCCTGGAATGAAGGTACCTATGAAAGAGACACCATGAGGGATTCAGTACCAAAGAAGAAAGTCCAGCTAGCAAGTCATACCGAACTGAGATTGAGAGGGGCTACGACTTAATAAATTGACAACCAAATTTGTCGTCTGATGAAATTGCTACTTCAGATGAAACCTGTCTGACTTTTCCTGCTCGTGTGTTCTCTATAGAGCTGCTCTCATACAGATTACTTAGCAAACTTCAGGTTCCAGAGAATCGCTTTTGCTTCGTAAATTTAGGCTCTCCTACGTTGTACCTTTCTGTTCAGTAAAACTTACATTATGAAAACAAATGTGCTGAACAAAGCTATCGGATTTAAGTTGGGCCTCCTAACTTAGTCATTCTAGTCATTAGTAGATTTGGGGTGGTTGCCCGGTGGTGCCTCGGTGGGGTGTGTCCTGAGCTTTGTGTGAGCTGCCTCAGGCTATGGTCTGAGCAAGCAGGAGATAAGCCCTGCTGTGGGTCAACTCAGGCAAAGGTCCTTTTGGCTACGTCTAAAGAACAGGACCCACTGCAGAGTCCCCCGGGGGCCAGCTACAGAAAGCCTGGGGCACTGCTGTCCCGCAGGCAGCACTAAAGTAGACTCTAGCCTCCTCCATACCAAGGGCACCCCTATGGGCTGAGACCCATATGGGGAGAACATAATGGGACCTTCTCAGCAGATGGAACCGTGGGAGTCCTCCGCAGGGAGTGATTCTGGAGTCCTTTCCTGGACTCACAGTCTACCTGAAGAAAACGTTACTTACAGACATTAACATAAATATGCATGTATGTGTATGTTTATTCTTGGGAAACCGTCACAGTGTAAATCAGGAACAGCCTTCTCTTTACGGACAATCCCATAATAAAACTCAGAAACCAAGAAAAAAGGAATTGGCTTCCTGGGCTCTGAGCCTGGCTGTCTATACAAGTGTCGATTCATTTTTATGCTTTTTATGATTTTCCGTACTGGCAGAAGTTTTCATACTTTCTATGTTTTGTTTTTTTTAATGACTCAGTTTTTTATTACTAAAAATAGCACCTTTGAGAACATTTAGAAAAATTAAAAAAGCAGAAATTACTGTTAACCTTGTTAACTGGATAGGCAAGCAATGGTACCCCAATCATTTCCTCGATTACTGAGGTTAAGTATTTGTGTGTTTCCTCTTTGATCAAATGTTCACGTCTTTTGCCTTTGTAGTACTTATGGAGTTGCTTCGTTTTTCATATCAGGTTATAGGATCTCTTTATACAATAAACATAATTTAAAAGGAAATGGGGTTTATAGTGAAACATTTTCCTTCCCCTCCCATCCCCAGTCCCCAGGGACCATTTCAGGATCCTGTATCCTTCCAGACATGCTGCAGGCATATGAAGGCAAATATCATGATTATAACTACCGTGCATTGCCCAAATATTAATTCATTACACCTCGCAGCCACTGTTGGCCCTATTTTACAGACGAGGAAACGGGGGCACCGACAGGCTAAGTAATTTGCCCAAGGTGTTTCAGACAATAATGGCTGAGCTGGGATTGAATCCTGATTAGTTATACCTGGGGGCTATAATTTTCAAAGTTCCTCCACTTCTGTGAGCTAGGCCTCACAGGTGTCCTGGGAAGCAGGGGGGAGGTTCCACGGCCCACCCAAGGCCATGCTGCACTGGGGGCAGGTCTCCTTGGGGCTCCTTCTGACACACACACAAAGGTCTGCATTGTGTAAAGACAAGAAGGCCATGCACGTGGGCCTCCCAGCTGGATGGGTGATTAGGACCCATCCCAGGGTGGGGCGGCTGGGCTAAATCCATGACTCTAAATTCAATTCACTTCGGAGTTGTAGGGTTTTTGGACTAGAAAGGAAGGTGAGCCGCAGAGCTTAACTTAGCTCCACGTTATGGAAGAGCTTTCAGCTTCCACGGCACTGCACCTTGGCTGCCTCTCTTCCCGCTCTGGGAACACACGCATCCCAGTTCTCGCTCCAGCTAACTCGCCAGGTGCTGCCAGGCACCTGGGTTTTCTCTCTTCCAGGGAACCTTGCCCCTCTCAGGCTGCACCGGGTGACCCTCCTCCAGGCTCCCGCAGCTCCAGGTGGTTCCCTATATTCTCTCTTACCATTTTGTATTAAAAATGCAGGGGCTGCATTCTTTCCCTCCTCAAGCGCAGGGACCCCACTTTCTCCTGTGCTGTTTGATCCCTACAGGTCAGTGCCTGACACCCAGCAGTAAATGCACCCTGAGGCAAATGACCAGAGGTCGGGCCAAACGCCCCCATTCCCTCATCTCTACCTGGGACAGTCTCCCGTTCATTTCTGGCATCCAGAGGATGCCTGGTTAAAGTTCACTGAATTTAATGAAACAGAACCAATCCCTTTACCAATAATCGCACATCTGAGCAGAAAAGCGATTCGGTTCCAAGACACTTAGATGAAAACTACGTGAGGTGGTGGGCACAGGCCTCAAAATAGGGGCTCAAAACGCGCTGATTTCCTTCCTCATCTGGACGGAAAGCCGGCGGGTAAGGAGGTTGGGTCTAGCCCCCCAAGGAGTCTCACCATCACTAGGACAGTCCCCAGGCGCTGCTCGGCGCCCAGGGGCTGCCCTCCCAAGGCGGCCCCAGCTCCCGGCTGGGGCAACGGGCCTCTGCCCTTACGCCCCGGGCTGGGGGGGCTCCATGAAGGCCGCAGGCTGTACCGGGCCGATGGTAAAACAAGGGAGGCTCCTGAAGTCCGTCGCGGGGCTGCCCCCACCCGCTGTCTTCCCAGGGGACACGTAGCAGGACTTGCTGTTGGGTCTCATCAAGGACCCAGAGCCAGGGCGAACGGGCCCAACCGCGCCCCCTCGCGGCGCTCGTCGCCAAGCCGTCACCTGGAGAAACCGCCCTGCACTCGCGCCACCGACGGCGGCCTCGCACAAAGGATCTCAACCTGCCGGGGGTGCCTTTGGAGGGCATACAGTGTACGCTGTGCCGCACCCCTGCTTAGAGATGGGGCGAGGGGCCCAGAGAGGGGAAGCGGCCCCGGCTACTCGCTGGGGCGGGGACGGGGGGCTCAGG